AAATTGTAGACTATTGTTTATTTATTTATCTTTTATTCATTTACCTATTGTATGAAAGTTGAACAACATTGTATAAAAATTGTATTAAAGTGGATGATTTAGTACTGTTTTGGACAAAAATATGTATAAAAAATGTGAATCATACATTTCAGGGGAAGCATGTCGACTCCAAATATGTACCTAGTTTGTAGATATTTTGTGATAAATTGTAGATTATTTGTATTCTGATTGTAGATGCTTTATTTTCTATTTTCAAAAATAAAAACGGCTAAAACTTCTACAAATCTTCTGAAAAAAATACAATTATGTCGAAAATCCCAATAAAACTACAATCGAATAGGAATTGGGATATTAAAATTCAATGTACCCCGTTTGTAGATATTTTGTAGATAAATTATAGATTATTTGTATTCTGATTGTAGATGTTTTGTTTTCTGTTTACACAAATAAAAAACGACTAAAACTTCTACAAATCTTCTGCAAAAAATAGTCTACAATTTATCTATAATTGCTGCAATATAATGTATGTCATGTCTTTTTCTTCTTCTTCGAGTTTCAATCTGAAATTCAGCCAAAACCAAGTCTAAATCTTCGCCAAAACCCCTCAAAATTGAGATATAAACTCCAAAACATATTCCCAATTTTTACAACAACACCCAATCAAAACAAATAATGATTTTTGAAAACCCAAATTTGAATTCAAAGCTTCAAAGCTTTTTAATGGCTGTCAATGGTGGAATTGCTGCTCTCTTGTCTCTTTGAAGGTTTGTTCTTCTTCATTGAGAAAATTTGAAGCTGAAGGTAAATGTGTGTATGAACTCTGAAGATTTGACTTCAATTTTGACTGGTTTTAGAAGAAAAAAGCTTGAAATTAGACGTTAATGGAGGGGTGTTACATATGTTTCTCTGGTTTTAGCAGAGGGAATAATGGGTTTGAAACGTGGGTGTGGGGAGATACGTGGGTGAGGGTGTGGGTTTGGGAGAGAAAAACATGGGGGTGGGGACTTGGAGGAATATACGGTAGCGTTAATTAAGGAGTGATATACGGGACATTAATTGTACAGTTAAAACACACTATGGTATAGAATTGGTAATTAGGTATACTAAATGTAATTAAATCAAACCTTAAACATTGAGGGTAATATAGTTTCTTATATGGAATAGGAATGTAAAAATTCCAAAAATAATGGTATGATAGGATTTAGTTGTGAACTTTGTCAAAAGGGATCTTTACACAAATACCACAACAGATTTATCTGTTTACTTTTTCTAGACGATATATATAAATTATACATTAAATATATTATACATATATTTTACATATATTATCTGTTTGCTATTTTTAGATTAAACGGTTGGGTGAACGACTATTTCGATAAATTCTTCAATATTTTTATTTTAAGTGCATAAGTAATTAGGAACGAAACAGTCAGGATTTAGCCCAATGAGAGTCTTCAAGTGCACAAATCTACTTTAGAGGAAACTCATTGGTGACTTTAATGTCGATCAATTCACTGCAACTATTATATCCTGTCATATAAGTTACTAATCTCATTTAATATTTTATGAATTGTTTTTCAGATATTTTTAGATGATTTGATTGTGTAAAAATTCTTTTACGTAATTTTTTCACTAAATAACTATGGTAGCTTTTCAAATTTAGGTTAACTTCAGGGAATCTTCTCTAAACATCTAAAAAATTGAGCCTCAAAACGTGTTGTACAAAGTAATTAGGAAATTATTGTAATCCAAAGTCGAAACCGACCTTCTATCGTAATCTTTAACTACTGTTCTTCTTTCTTGATTAGAACAAAGCAATAACATGAAAAAGAAAGATTAAACAAAGCAAATTTCGACAGGGGAACCACAAACATGGGAATAAATAATAAAAAATAAAAATAAAGGGGGGGATCAAATCTATGGCAAGATTTTTTCCAAAAATTGGTCAGAAATTTTTGATAAACAAATATGAAGTTAGAATTAACCACTCACTTTGTCTTATAATCTTTTGATTGTTGTATTAGTAAAAATAAATACACGTGGATTTATGTGTGGCTGATATGACAAGACACGTGGATCATTGAGATAGCGACAGCTGGAGAGATACATTAAAAGAGGCACAAATCATAATAGATACGAACAAATCACCACGAAATGAGAAGATATGATTGTTCAAGTTTAAATGGTTACATGAAGAGGTACCGGCAGAATGAATCGAGACAGTAAAAAGGAAAGATTCGTGAATCAGCAATTAATGAGCGTGAATGATCTCAAACGTTACAGAATCTTTATGAACAGTTACGATTAACAATTATAATGTCTCATTAATATCATTAATGCTCATAATGATTCGGTCATAAAAGGGAAAGGACGTTGTACTTATAAGGGAAAGAGATATCATTTGTACAGACACGTTCTGATTATTATTGGAATATAATTACTTTCTTTTGCTTTCTATTGATTACTTTGCTATTTCATTTTCTAATTTCCTTTCTTATTGTGAGAATATTGAATTTCTTGATTATCAGTAGCCCGAGTACTTCTAAAAATAGGCTTTAACCGAAATTCCTATTTTTTGTTAAACAAATTGGTTCTATTACCGGGAATCTAATAATATTTTCACTTTCCAAATTTATTTTTCTGTCAAAAAATCATGTCGACCACTAATGACAACAACCAACAAAACAGGCAAGACTAGTTGAACCAACAGAATCAACAAGAGAATGACACTCTAATCCCTTCACCTCAAAATTCTCCTCGACACTCTCGAGAAAACTCACCTGACAGATCAGCGTCACATGTGAATAAACAGCAAGGGGAAGATCAAATTGTTGATGATGCATTGAAGCAACTAATTGCAGAACACGTGAACAATGCTCTTCAAGCTTTCGTTAGCAGATTGCCAACTGTACCACCAAC